AAAGGAACAGCGACGGGGGGAGTGAAAGCGACAGGGAGACGGGGGAGTGAAAGGAACAGCGACAGGGAGACGGGGGGAGTGAAAGGAACAGCGACAGGGAGACGGGGGGAGTGAAAGGAACAGCGAGAGGGAGACGGGGGAGTGAAAGGAACAGCGACAGGGAGATGGGGGGAGTGAAAGGAACAGCGACAGGGAGACGAGGTCAAGCACGTCTTTTAATCGGCTTGTTGTTCTGACGTAGTGCATTATGATGAGAATAGGGCTCCCTGCTTAATGCCACGGGACGCCAGGAGGTGTGGAGTCTGGTCATGTGATCACATGTCCGTCAAGCAGAGTTTTACTGCCAACTTCAGCTCAGCGGACTCTTCTTCCATTATTAATGCTACAGTGTTCGTTTTAATGAAACAGCGTCGGGGGGGGGGGTCCTCTCGTCTTTCTTCTGTGAAGTCCTGGCCTTGAAAGTCAAATTAAGAAGCAAAATAGATGGCAGCATTGTGAATAAATCTATCTGCTCTTCAGCACAATGTACTTCTGAGGTTCTCCTGCTAAGGTTCCATGAATAATGCTGACTTTTCTTTGCTGCATATGTCAGTGTTTTTTTCTGTCTCGATGATCCTCGTAACGAAGATGCCGAAGGTCGCTTTGGGCCATAATTCGTCTTGGTACGGCAGTATCATGGTGGGTCTGCCGATAGCAGCGGTTCTCCGGCACTTAGTGAAGGGGCACCCTCTCTGTCCACCCTCCCCTCCCCCACCCCCGGAGCAGACGTCCCGCATCAGCCAGCAGATCATCGCCACAGACGGGGGGAACCGAAGTGTATCAGTGGAGCTGACCGTCATGATCACCAACATCTACAACCAGCCCCCTGAGTGGGAGCGGGCGGAGTACTCGGTCACCATTCCGGAGAACACGGTGCGGGACACCACGATCGTGGTGAGTCTTCACCGGCGTGGCCTCTCATGCCCCACCCCCCCCCCACCGTCTCTCCTGAATCCGCCGCCCCGCAGCCAACACCTCAGTACGCACACTTACTTTGACATTTATTTTATTTCTTACAAGAAAAGGCTCCTAGCGCTTGTGTCTCTGAATGACGCAGAGACAGGGCCAGGGGCGGCCTTCCCCGCCGAGGGCTTTCATCGTCAGCGCCGGCACTTTCCGCAGGAGCAGCTGAACGCACTCCGGCGTGCATGGGTCCCGGCGCGGCCGCACGCCACAAATGACACATCACTCGCGTTGCTCCCAGTCATCCCGGCTTCTTGTGTGAACCGTCGGGTGTGGGTTGATTCCCCCCCCCTCCCACACACACACCTTCTAGCCTTCCCACAAAATATACTCCTGGGTTAGTGTGGCAGCATGTGATGCCCAGCTGACTGTGGTAATTAGACCACAGTGGGTGGGGGATGGCGCTTGGGGGTCGTGGGCAGAGCTCGCGAGTTGAGGGCGGAGCTTGGGGTTGAGGGCGGAGCTTGGGGGTTGAGGGCGGAGCTTGCGAGTTGAGGGCGGAGCTTGCGAGTTGAGGGCGGAGCTTGGGGTTGAGGGCGGAGCTTGCGAGTTGAGGGCAGAGCTTGCGAGTTGAGGGCGGAGCTTGGGGTTGAGGGCGGAGCTTGCGAGTTGAGGGCAGAGCGTGCGAGTTGAGGGCGGAGCTTGGGGTTGAGGGCGGAGCTTGCAAGTTGAGGGCGGAGCTTGCTGGTCCTTGATCGCAGCTTCAAACTCAGTCCCACTTCTCTCATCACTGGGAATCGTGTGTAACAAAGATCATTAATTATCATACTCCCCCCCACTGATGACGAACAGCATCTATGGTCTGCAAAGGGCTCTTTACACATAAACACACAAAGCCTCATACTGATGCTCTCCAGCCTCCTCACTCTCAGTGGCGCAGTTTAAACTCAGTGGCTGCTGAGCCCTAATTACCAAGGTGAGAAAATTCTGAAAATTCATGGTACAGGTAGAAAAGTATCCAAGTATGTATCTTGTATTTTTTTGTTTCTCTTTGCAATATATGAAAACCCATATATGTATGTCTGTGTGTATGTGTGTGTGTGTGTGTATTTATGAAATGTACTATGTGACGACTTGCTTGTGAAACTTCATCGTCGTACCAGTCAAGACGGTGCCGTCCGCCATGAGAAGACAGAGCTACTGCTGCTGGCAGCCTTTCGGCCTCCGACAATGATGCCACACGCGGGCACTTTCTGCCCGGCGACAGCCGCCGCGCTGAGTATCGCTAATTAGATTATTAGCGGCTAGATGGCTAATGGCCACTCATCCTTTATTTTACCCAGTTTCTGAATGATTATAGTCAAGCTTCTTCTTCCCTGTAAATACCGTATTTACTCTGCAGTGAGCAGTAACTGCTGCTTAAAATCTGTGCTGTGCATTGGGGAACCCCTACAGTAATTCATCCTTGGAACTCAAAATACAAATTAGGCTCGTTAACAGTGTAACACATTCACGTGCCGCACGTCGCCGCTTCATTGTTTTTTCTTTCCGTTCTCATATCCATTATCTTTCTCTCTGTCTCTTAATTAAAAATTTAAATATCAGTGGTCTCAGTGCGGAATTATCTTAAGGAACAATGATTAGTAAATTCCAAGCAGCGTAATTGCAACCTTGAGTAAATAATTAAGAGGCCGCGTTCCCAGGCCTGCATTGGATTATGGGAATATCGCTGTATCCGCGGCAGTCTGCCAGGTAGATCAGGGGATAAATTAATAACGGCATCTTCTTAGGGTCGGGAAAGTTTGTATTTTGCAAGCAGATAATCATAATTAATCATTTAAATGAATTCTAACTGTTATGAATATTTAAAAATAATTTTCCCCCAGACCTGTGAAATCATGAGAATAATCGCATCTGAAATGTATAGTGAGCATACCTGTAAGATCCCCATTCGCTACATGGATGTGTCCCGAACAGCGGCTCCTCGTGGAGCGGGGCCTGCCGGGGGGGTAGGACAATGCGGTAATTAGCCGTCGTCTCCTCTG